CTATCTATCTATCTATCTATCTATCTATCTATCTATCTATCTATCATCATTTATCTCTCTTTTAAGTTGACTCTATCGGGGAATCTTGTAATGGTTGGTGGATCTATCTATCTATCTATCTATCTATCTATCTATCTATCTCATTATATTCATATCTATCTATCTATCTATCTATCACTTATGCTGTCTCTCTTTTAAGTTGAACTCGGGGAATCTTGTAATGGTTGGTGGATCTATCTATCTATCTATCTATCTATCTATCTATCTCTGTCAATCTCATCAATATCTATCTATGTCAATCTCATCATTATCTATCTATCTATCTATCTATCTATCTATCTATCTATCTAGACTAGTCTATTAATATCTATTTCAGTTTGTTCCATCTTAAGTATGACGATAAACTACATCCGGCAGAAAGGTCTCTGATCAGCAAGTTTTGAGAAACGTGAAACCACCTCATAATTACTGGTGTTCCTATGTCCATCCTGACCCGGGTGTTAACACATGTTAGGTCCCACCCATGGACAAATATTTAGCCCACAAACTCTGGTCAAATCATTATGAAATTGGAAATATAGATTTTAATACCAGCAATATATTTTTGGGAAAACAATTACCAACAATACATTATTATCAGCAATACATTTTGAAAAATCTTGTTGTCATTAAATAACATATAGAGGCTGAGAAGCCGTATAACAAAAAAAAAAACAAAAAAAAAAAAAAAAACAAAGAAAACAATCATCTATCTATCTATCTATCTATCTATCTATATCAGTCTGTTTCATAACTATTTATTTCAATCTCTTCATATCTATCTATTTCTGTCTGTTCATATCTATGAATCTTACTGCATGTCTTTTCATATCTATCTATCTATCTATCTATCTATCTATCTATCTATCTATCTATCTATCTCATTATGTTCATATCTATCTATCTAGCTAGCTAGCTAGCTATATCATTGTCCCTACATCTACTGTATCTCGAAATTGTGTTTGATTAAATTACTGTCCTCGTTTCACAGTTGGCCGCATCGGCTCTTATCAGGCTAACACACCAAAGTTGCATTATTTCGATTTCTCACTGAAAATAAAAAGCCAGATTTTCACAATACCGAAGCTTTACTTGTAATAATAATTGCTCAAAATGTATTGAAGAATTGCCTAATAAGCGACAACGAGTCAATGTAAAGAATTTCATAACAGAATTCGAGTTTATTTAAAGACAAAATATTTTAGATTGTAAGAATGTTGTGATTTATTATTATCAAGTATTACAAATTAACCCATAGCTGTGCGGGGAAGAGGTTGATTCCATCGTATCCCAAGTTTATTTGCGTGTAAGTGAATATAACAAACACAAATGGGATGGGAACATGGCTCTCCGACTGAAGGATTCAAAGATATTTTTAAATAATTTGCTGGATTAAAATTAAATTTCTTTAGCATTTACTCTAATAAAATTAATTAATAACAAATCTCTTGTTCATATTTTACATAATGCCTTTTCAAATGCTGTATTTGAAACCCATTATTAACTAAGTAAGTTTTTATTCTTTAATAAATTACTTTTATTCGGTTGTAAAAAAAAATATGTTTTTCTGGTAATGAATTGTCTTGGTATTGAATTGTCTCAGTCTTGAGTTATCCCGTTCCTAAGTTGTCCTGATGCTCATATTTTTTTTTCTACGGGAAAGCATATCCATAAAATTTTCTTGACGAATATAACGTGAGCTCCTTTTTATATAATTTTTTAACTACTCAGTAATCATAAACATTTAGGAAAATATTCTAATCTTACGCATTATTGAATTTTATGCACTTTGCCTTTAGATTTACTACAGTGATCGCATTTCTGATCGCATTTTCTGAAAATCTTGTAAGTAGACGGCCGTACACTATTTACATTATTCGGACAATTGTTCTCATCTTTGTCACCATATTTATTACAACATTTCGGCCTTTCAGTATCTGCCTCTATTTCTGAGATGAGGTATTATCTGCACTATTAACATTATTCGGACTATTGTTCTCATCTTTGTTGCCATATTTATCACAACGTTTCGGCCATTCAATATCTGTCTATATTTCTGCGATGAGGTATTATGTACACCATTTACATTATTCAGATTTTTGTCCTCATCTTTTTCGCCATATTTATTATAAAATTTCGGCCTTTAATATCTGTCTATATTTCAGAGATGAGGCATTATTGAAAGGCCGAACCTTTGTAAAGATGAGGACAATAGTCCGAATAATGTAACTAGTTACATTATTCGGACTATTGTCCTCATCTTTGTCACCATATTTTTTACAACGTTTCAGCCTTTCACCCTCTGTCTATAATTCTGAGATGAGGTATTATGCACACAATTTACATTGTTTATTATTATTATTATTATTATTATTATTATTATTATTATTAAAGATACTCATCGACAAAGATGAGGATAATAGTTTGAATATCTCAGAAATCTAGACGTCCGTATTTACAAAACTTGCATGTTTAAACACGCGCGCGCATGCACACACACACACACACACACACACACACACACACACACACACACACACACACACACACACACACACAAAATTTCAGTTCACTCTTTCAGAAAGATCGAATTTGTTAGATGTATACAACAACTTCCTCAGACCAAGGATTGAAAATGGCTTTGAGCAAATGAAATCTTTAGGTTTTAACGAAGACCATCTTTTTCAAGCCCGAGAGAATCAAAAACAATGGACTATGCCAAATAACACAAACCACATCGCTGGAAGATTTTCGACAATTAAAATGGTTATCACATGTCCCTCGAAGAAATAGAATAATGATATAATAAAACTGTTCACGCTCCGCACAGCTTAAAACAATTAGGAACAATTTTACAATACAGGAAAGACCAATAACGCTAACACCTGAAAAACTCTTTCGTTAGAAAGATTTCATCAAACCCCACAACCAACTCAAGAGTAGAGATTTACTTGACCCTGCAACCACCGAGTCAGGTTGTGACACAAGGTCACTTTTTAACGTGGGAATCACGCGTGCATCCACTCAGGCTGCTGGTCTTAGCTGGTCATAGCTTGTCCAAGCTGGTCCGAGCTGGTCTAAGCTAGTCATATCTAGCCTTAGCTGGTCAAAGCTTGTCTAAGCTGGTCCGAGTTGATGGAAACGAGTCATAGCTGGTCTTACCTAATCATAGCTTGTCGAAACTGGTTCGAGCTGGTCTAAGCTAGTCATAGCTGGTCTTAGCTAATCATAGCTTGTGGAAGCTGGTCAGAGCTGGTCTAAACTAGTCATAGCTGGTCCATGCTGGCCAGAGCCGGTCCAAGCTAGCCATGGCTGTGATACTACCCGATAAGTATCAAGGTGTACAAACTACTCGAGAAAGAAATTTACAACCGACTCAAGAGTATGTCGGGTCACGCTGAATGGAGGTTCAGACGAAGGTTTTCGACCTTCTTGGCCCTCGTAAATATCTTTAAACTCCACACATCGATTTTATTTTTCGTTAAACACACAAAACCCTGTACTCGGTTTGTACGGTGATGAGCGCGTCCAGATGATGCAAATTGCCGGCATCAACGTGCATCCACAATTGGAATACACATTGCGGCATCGTGGCACTTTGTCTGAAGGTTCCAAGTCAAAGACCATCGAATGTGTCCTTATAAGGAAACTTCTGATATTACTATTACTAACAGAGATGTAGAAAAAATATACTACACTTTCATTGCAGCCAAATAACGAAAAGTGTAAGTGGGATATCATTGGATGTTCGATCAATGAATGACGATTGTTTCCTTATAAGGAAATGACTAATATATTAACTTTTCTAAGACTGAATATTACATAAGTCAGGAAATGAATCTAAAAGAATTTTTTTTTCGCAAACCACACAACCAACTCAAGAGTAGAGATTTACTTGACCCCCACCACTGAGTCAGGTTGTGACACAAGGTCAGTTTTTTAACGTGGGAATCCCGGGTGCCTCCACTCAGGTTGCTTGTCTTAGCTGGTCCTAGCTTGTCCAAGCTGGTCCGAGCTGGTCTAAGCTGGTCTATTATGGAAATATTAGAGATTAAAACAACAAAAATAATCAGCTCACTTGAAAGTTAAGGTTTATTATTGTTCTAACCTAGGGAAGGTTACTGAATAGAATAATCAAGCGAAAGTTGATAATACTTAGGATAAGAACAATACATATATGATTCGACAGGAGCGCGTAGATGAAGTAGTCAACTGCTAGAAGTGAGTCAAGTGAATTCCACAAAGAATCTCCAACTGCAGGATAACTACCAACCGCCCCACGCGGTCAGATGTGGCACAAGACCGAATTTAATGTAGGGCATCCGAGCCCGTAGGCTCGGCCAAAAATTCCCCGTAGACCGCGTATAAAACGAGGCCGGGTAGCTGTTTTCCGAGACAAGACTCTGCCAGCTGGAGACAAATCTCCAACTGGAGGATATTTACCAATCGCCCACGCGGTCAAATGTGGTGCAAGGCCGAGTTTTATTGTTGGCTATCTGAGCCCGTAGGCTCAGCCAAAAATTCACCGTAGACGCTGCATAAAATGAGGTCGGTTAGCTGATTCC